CATATAATGGTGAATGAGCATGACAGATAAAATCACCTCAAATTTCCCCTGTGATAGTCAGAATTTATCCATCAGTCTGAATTAAAACCATGCTGTTTTAATCACTACAGCTTTGTTCTATGTTTTGTTGTCTGGCAAATGGCCGTCCCCCACATACATAAGAGTATTTGGTGGCTCATGCCTATAATTCTAGTGCTTTGGGAGGCTGAGGTGGGAGGCTTGCTTGAACCTAAGAGTTCGAGACCAGTCTAGGCAACACAGTGAAACTTCATCTCTACCAAAAAAAAAAGAAACTTAGCTGGGCATGGGCATGTGCCTGTAGTCCCAGCTACCTGGGAGGCTGGGGCAGGAGGATAACCTGAGCCCAGGAGGTCAAGACTGTGGTGAGCTGTGATCATGCTATTGCACTCTAGCCTGAATGACAGAGTGAGACCTTAACTCAAAAAAAAAAAAATTCCCCCTGAGCACCGACTGTGTGCCAGATGCTTTCTTTAGGACCTCAACGTTGAACGGCAAGCAAGATAGAAAAGATCTCTGCCCTCATATGGCCCACAACATTCTTCATCTATTTGTGTTTTTTCTGTCCATGCCACGCTCTTTTAAGACTTATAACTTTACAGTGTGTTTTGTTAATTCATGTACAAGTCTCCCATTTTCCATCATAATAATTTGTCACGTGTTTACTGTGTGCCAGAATGAACAAAACACATAAAGACCCTGCCCAGACAGAGCTGACATTCTCTGGGGAAAGACAGGCCATTGGGGTAAAGACTGATTACATAAAAACGCCAGGAACGCGGGGTACAGAGAGAAAGCATGTCAGTGGCTGAGATGCTTAAAGAAGCCACCCCTGCCAAATAGTCTGCCACGTCTCCCTTTAATCTTCCCGGGTCCAGCTGAGGCTCTGTATTCACAGGTCTTTGCTTTTGTACCAAGCAGCCACCAGGCCTCACCCCTGTGGCCCTTCTCCTTTGGGGCTGAGCATACTGTCTCACAGCTCTTTAATTTCAGCACTGCCCTTCAGCAAAGCCCTCTGAGAGCCCGGTCACTTGCCCCCCACCCCCGCCACTATCTTACCTATCCACTGCTTTGGACATTTGCAAGTCTCTCCCTCCACCCCAATCAGTCTGGGATCCTTTTTATTTGTTTATTTATTTTGAGCCAGGGTCTTGCTATGTTGTCCAGGCTGGTCTCAAACTCTGGGGCTCAGACAACCCTTCCACCTCAGCCTCCCACATAGCTGGGACTCCAGGCATGCACCACTGCGCCCAGTTGATTTTTTATTTTTTGTAGAGACGAGGTCTTGCCGTGTTGCCCAGACTGGTCTCAACCTCCTGGGCTCAAGCAGTCCTCCCGCCTCGGCCTCCCAAAGTGCTGGGATGACACACGTGAGTCACCGCACCCGACTGGCTCCTGATCTCTTTGTTTTGAACGATTTCAGCCCTTCAGAAGGGCTGCAAGAGCAGTCTGATGGATTCTCCTAAAGCCTTCACCCAGATCCTGCGGCGGCTGATCTCTGTCCTGTCTGCTTTCACGCTCTCTCTTTCGCGTACAGGAGCATGAACACTCTAGGAGCTTGAGCTGCAGACACCATGACCTCCCCCGATGCTGGAGCGCGAATCCCCTGAGGATAACGGCGCTCCCTTGCTTAATCCCAGTACCACAGCGGTGCTCAGGGAGTGTCATGCCGAATCGAGGGGATTATCCAGTCCACAGTCCGTGTGGCAGGGCCCCGGTCGTCCCTGGCACACCTGTTGTGGCTGGCACCCTCCCCTTCCCTCCCTTCCCATCCCGCCAGTGCCGCACGTTGCCGTGGGCTGTCACATCCCTTCTGTTTGGATCCGTGTCTCACCCCTCCCCTGTGACTCTTCGAAGATGCGAGGCTGGTGGCTCGCACCATCCTCAGTCTGGTGTGTCTTGTGTTTCCTGAGGATTAGACTCAAAGCCGTGCGCTTTGGGCAGGGATCCTCCGTGGTGCATGGTATCCAGAGGCACACGACGTCCGCTCAGCTATGACAGGAGACGTCGATTTAATCGTTAGGTCCAGATGGTCTTTGGGTTAAATGTTTGACGGAGATGATGCTTAAAAAAACAAAAAAAACTCACATTCTGCTGATCCCTGAAGTGTACGTTTGTAACATCCATGACATGAGGATATATATATTTTTTGAGTTGGGGTTCTACTCTGTCACCCAGGCTGGAGTGCAGCAGCATATCATGGCTACCACAGCCTCAGCCTCCTGGGCTCGGGTGATCCTCCCAAGTAGCTCAGACGACAGGCGTGCACCACCACACCCAGCTAATTTTTTTTTTTAAACTGTAGAGACGAGGTCTCACTCTGTTGCCCAGGCTGGTTTCAAACTCCTGGCCTCAAGCAATCTCCTGCCTCAGCCTCCCAACGTGCTGGGATGACAGGCGTGAGCCACTGCACCCAGCCATGTTGGGATTCTTTTTTTGAGTCAGAGTCTCACTCTGTTGCCCAGGCTGGAGTGCACTGGCACACTCACAGCCACTGCAGCCTCGACCTGCTGAGCTCAGGCTATCCTTCTGCCTCAGCCTTCCAAGTAGCTGGGACTACAGGCGTGCACCACCATGCCCAGCTAATTTTTTGGTTTTTTGTAGCGACAAGGTCTCACCAAGTTGCCCAGGCTAGTCTCGAACCTGTGGGCTCAGGCAGTCCCCTCGCCTCGGCCTCCCAAAGTGCTGGGATTACAGGCTTGAGCCACGGCGCCTGAACTCCGGCCCCCTTTATTGTGAAAGAAGTCTTGAAGTCTTGACGGTGAACACCTGCCCATCCTACCACACAATTCGGGGACAGGGCTGAGCACCTCAGGTGCTGGGGGAGGGGCTGGGGGACACGATAGATGTGCCAGTTCCATTAGCATCTCCGAGTCATGTTGATGTCGCAGCCCTGCCGAAGGGGCCCACCCAGTCCCTGTCCACTCAAAATTTCACGCCGAAGGCCAGGCATGGTGGCTCACGTTGTAATCCCAGCCCTTCAGGAGGCTGAGGTAGGAGGATTGCTTGAGGCCAGGAGTTTGAGACCATCCTGGGCAACATAGAGACCTCACCTCTACAAAAACATTAAAAAAAAAAAAAACCGGGCATGGTGGCATGCGCCTGTAGTCCCAGCTGCTCAGGAGGCTCAGGCGGGAGGATGGCTGGAGGCCAGCAGGTTGAGGCTGTGGTGGCTGTGATCGTGCCATTGCACTCTGACCCACCTAATGTCATGCCTTGTTCCTACCCTGCACAGAGCATCTTGGAGGGGCTTCGGAGACTCTCACAGCTGTTGCTCTTCAAACCCTAAGCCACGCACATGCCTCCCAGCTCAGAGGCCTCCCAGCTCCACAGTAAGCAGAGAGGGCTTCTCTGTGGCCCGCTGAGGCCTTCTGATCTGTCCCCGATCCCTCTGTGATGCCATCTCCTGCTGGCTCCCCCTCACTCCCTCTCTGCAGCCACATGACCACCCACTGTTCCTTGAACCGCCAGGTGGGCTCCTGCCCCAGGACATCTGCACTGCCTGTTCCCATTACAGGAACACACTTCTTCAGATACGCCCCCGTGGCTCCCTCCCACACGTCCTTGGAAAGGCTCTCCCTGGCCACCCAAATACGGCTGCCACCCCTCAGTCCCTTCTCTCTTGGTCTGTGTTTCTCATCACACCATCGCCACCTGCCATGATGGGCTGGGTCATCGTTCAGTTTCCTGCCAGGGCAGGGGTTTCTGTCTGATCCCGCCTTGCTGCAGTGCCTGGCACACGGCAGGTGCCCATTCGGTGTTTGTTGAAGGATGAACTGTAATTAAAGCAGTGTGTAATTGTCACTGTGATATGGGGCTGTGCACCCCATGAGGGCCCGGTGCCCGCCGTGTCCCCAGCACTGCTCAGCACAGGGCATAGAACAGGTGCGCTCTAGGGGTGTTTGTTGAATGAATGAGTGATGCTGCCTTAAGAAGTGTGGACTTTCTCTTGGGGGCACCTGGGAGCATAGAAGGGTTTTTTGTTTGTCTGAGTAGGAGTCTCACTCTGTCACCCAGGTTGGAGTGACACGCATGCCACTGCAGCCTGGACCTCTGGGGCCCAGGCAATCCTTCTGCCTCAGTCTTCCAAATAGCTGGAACCACAGGCGCGTGTCACCACGCCTGACTGATTTTTTAATTTACTGTAGAGATGAAGTCTCACCAAGTTGCCCAGGCTAGTCTCGAACCCCTGAACTCAGGAAATCCTCTCACCTCCACCTCCCAAGGCGCTGGGATGACAGGCGTGAGCCACCGTGCTGGGCTGGTCCCATAGAAGGGTTTTTCTTAATCAGAGGAGTGATGAGGTCCTTTCTGGTCCTGTGTCCCTGCTTCTGCAGGTGTGGCCATCCACACCCCCTGGAGCTAGTCAGGAATGCAGAATCTAGAGACCCAAGAGGATAGGTGCGATGACTCACACCTGCAACCCAGTGCTATGGGAGGCCAAGTGAGAGGATCACTTGAGGCCAGGAGGTCAAGGCCAGTCTAGGCAACATAGTGAGACCCCTGTCTCTACAAAAAATGAAAAATAAAATTAGAAAGCTAGAAACCCAGGAGCTTTTGAACCAGAATCTGCATTTTAACAGGATGCACCAGGGGATGCATAAACACAGGAAGTCTTGAGAAGCAGGGAGGTTGAACACTCCAGGCCCCTCTCAATTCTGGGACTCTGCATATGCTGTTCCCTCTGCCGGGAGCATGCTTGCTCACCAACGCCTGCTTTCGCATCAGATCACCTCCTCCGGGAAGCCTGCCTTGATCTCACCCTCATCCTTATTTGTGTCATGCCCCTGCTTCTAATTCTCATGAGTTCCACAGTGGGAGGGACTCTCCGTCCCTTCCTCCAGGACGCCCACCGGGATTCACCTGAACGTCTGCCTCCCCTCATGCTTGTGAGTTCTCCTGTGGCGCGCAGGCCCCCCACACCTCCACAGACCCTCAGCCGGTGACGGGCCCTCACCCCACTCTCCCCTCCCCCCCCGCAGTGAGGGCACGCTGGTGTTCAAGCCAGGCGAGACGCAGAAGGAGCTGCGCATCGGCATCATCGACGACGACATCTTCGAGGAGGACGAGCACTTCTTCGTG